TTAAATCTATCCTATATATACTATCTACTTTATCTGCTTAATTACCTACCTCTAAATACTATTTTTACTAACTAGAACATAACCTCTGCTTATACTATAGCTCTGATAACTATTAGATTAAAGAATATAATTAGTACTTATATCACTCTAGCTTACCTACTATATCTTAGCCTAGTTTACCTGCACCTGCCCCTGCTAAGCCCTATACTAGGATAATAGTCTAAAGTTCTACTATAGATGCCCTCTTCAGTTAACAGCCCCTAGAGGTAGCCTTAAAGGAGGGGGTATTATTATAAGCTACCCCTATAATACATACTGCCTTATATATATAGCTATATAATTATATAACTAGTAACTAGTATCTAGTCTAGACACCACCTAATTAGTTATATGATAAGAACTAATTATATTAATTAGTATATTACCTGCCTATACCTAGTTTCTTCCTTTGCTAGCAATTCCACTCCATACCTTCAAGGCCTATTAGGATGGCTAGAGTAAAGCCTCAGACTGAGATATTCTAGCCCATGACAATAAGAGGTCTTAAAGAAGTAGTTATTTTAAAATATAGAGGATTTAAAGGAGATTAATAATATCTTTCTTAATTAAGATTTCTAGCTTAGAATTAATAATTTATATACTCTTCTTAAGCTAATCTATAAAGCTTAGCTAATATTAGAGAGCTAAAGATTAAATATTATAATTATAAGTTATCTTATATCCTAATATCTTTATTTACTAAGAAATAAGATAGTAAAATAATAGATAGGAATCTAGAATTATTTAGAATAGTAGCTCTCTACCTCTAGCTTTTAATAAGATATCTATTCCTTTCTTTATAGTAAGAATAATACCTAGATTAAATACTTTAAGTACTAAATATCTCCTCTCTACTAGATTACCTACTATCTTTATCTATAGAATACCTTTATTAATACCTCTCTCCCCTTAGCTTTAATTCTAAAGATAAAAGAGATAATTAAATAATATAATAGTAAGAAAGTAATAAATTAATTCTTTTATTTTTAGAGTAAATAGAAAGAGTTCTAAAGACCTTCTCTTTAGAATAAAGAGAAGGAGTATAGTCTATTAGACTTCTAGCTTTAAGTAGTTAGTTCTACTATCTTATACTATTTTATATAGAATTAATTAAAAGTCTACTCCTTCTAGGAATAAATAACTATAGCTAGAGATCTCACCTATTTTATAATTTAATTATATTATATTATTACTAATTCTATTATCTCTAAATAATTATTTTCTATAATAGATCTATAGTATATAAAGACTTATAACTCTCTTAGTATAATCTAAATAAATAAAATAATATATATCTATATAAATAGCAGGGTATTAGATTATCTAGATAAGTAGAATACTCTAGATTATAACCTATTAGATAAGATAGATATTAAATCTACTAGTAAAGCTATCTAAGATAAGGCAGTAAGGCTATTCTAGAAGCTAATTTATAGCTAGAAGATAAAAAAATTCTATATATAAAGATCTTCAAGATAATCTACACCTAAATATTAATAATAAGGGTGATTCTAGAGAGAAATTAGCTAATTAGCTAACACTATAGCTAGTACTTAGAAAATAGCCTTAGGAGGCATAAAATCAGATTCTATACCTATAATTTAATAGTATTCTATTTTTTTACATGTTAAATAGCTTTATATTTAAAATTTTTTCTTATATTTTAGGAGGGGGGGAGCCCTGTTACTAGATTTCCCTAGATTACTAGTAAATTACTAGTAAAAAAGTAGGGTAAAAAGATAACTTTTTTATAATAAGAAAATCTTCCAAAATTCCTTAACATTTATGATATTTTGACATTTTGAATACCAGTGCTAGACCCATGTGGTCTCTGAAAGAGGAGGTAATGAAGCGCCCAAAAGCATCACAGCTAGGTGAAGCTGAGATTTCCCTACCTGTCTGTGCCGCACTTTATGACTTAAATCCTCCCCTGTAGCTAATTTTCCCCCATTCTAATTAATAACCTGCTGGCCTTGCTCCTGCTGGAGTAAGGACTCCGGCTCTAGCAGAGCAAATTACTTGCGTGATTTTTGCCATTCGCTGCTAGGTTGGCTCACTGGTGCTGGGCATAGCCCGTGACAGATCCCTTGCTAGCGAGATGGGTTATAGTTCAGCAATGTCTGGGGGAAGTTCGACAAGGTCTCGGGGGATGTAGGGCAACCTTAAGGTGACTACCCTACAGGTCAAGGTCGGCTGACCTGTATCCTGAACCTTAAGACCTTATTAAATGTTTCTGATATATTAGCTCAGCAAGGTCTCAAATTCGATCTATATTACACCTAGTCTATAGATTGTAAGCGGGTGTTAAATACAAAACCCAATAAAAGTTTAACAAGGTCTTAAATCCTATGAGATCCATATAGATGAACTTTCTCTTGGCGATAATTTAAGCCCTTATTAAACTATCCTAAGACCTTGCTGAACTGCATGCCCCTAGTGAGATAGGGAAGGATGTAGTAATTTAATTTTTTAAATTAGCTTTAACTTCAATTCTATAAAAGCTACTGCATTCCCCCCTTTAAAATAATATTTAACTACTTCATCTGTATTAACTAACTGATAATAAGACTTTTTAGTTTCTTTTAACCTACACTATGCACTTTATTAATTTGCTAATCCTTGCTTTAAGCTACTTTGCTCTTGAAGTTGTTGCAGGTGGCTATAAAGACAGTTGCACAGATATTAGACTTGATATGAATCCTCTTGCCATTGTTGCCAGTTGCACAAAGATTTCTGGAGACCCCAGCATAGGTGCCGGACTCAATCCGGATTATTGTTTTGCTGATGATCATGGTAACCTCATTGGCTGGGAAAAGTAAGGTCTTTCCTTTATGTTACCTACTTCTTCTTTTATTATATTTCTTAACTTAATCTCTCTTACTAACACATATCTACAGTGGTTTTTTTAGTCGGAGCTGTAAGGACTTAAAGCTTGATGGCACTACCCTCTCTGCCACTTGTAGTGGCCAACCTACTTCCATTGATACAGGTTAGTCTCTATATCAATCACCAGTACTAGTATGGCTATTGACAATAGTGAACAGATCATATCATCGGAAATAATAATGGGAGACTGCAATGTTTTGATACGGTTGGAACCAAATAAGCAGTCTTTGGTATGCAACTGTCTTCTTCCCAAGACTTTTATGGAATATAACAGGAAAATGAAGACTAACTATGTATATAGAGATAGCCTGACTTGCAGTATCTCCCTTTTGAAATCATCATCCTGCAGTTATGACTGTTGTGCCTTCCTGTTATAAAGTCCTTAGGCATAACACTCTAATGCTGGGGAAGGATCCGCAGTAGAAGCCTGGTATACGGAGGCGTGCACCAAAAGTTTTGACCGCCGCTAGTAAGCTTGGCTGTATCCTGCTGACGCAGCCCCCTAGTAATTTATATGGCAACGCGTCCAGAAGGAAAAATATTCATAAGCTAGAATTTCAGATGATTTCTCCCTTCCATTGCGGTCCTTAGATACAGATTCAATAATGGCTTTCTCCTTCTCAGGTGTTATCTCCTTAGGCCAGCCAGATCATTTAGCATCCTCAGCATATTCCATTTAAACATGTTCGCATCTTCCAGGGCTGAATCCACAGTCTTTTGCATGTTGTATCATCTTCTAAATAGATTAAGCAGGGACCTCTAGATTAGTAGCAATATCCTGGATGTCAATACCCCAGGCTACTAGCCCGAGAATCTGAATGCGCAATTCAATTGGATGGAAACCGTTTTTAGGCATGGTAAGGAAGGGATGCTAACCACCAAAAATCAAGAGATTTAATGAAAATAGTGAGTTTGAATAGTATCAAAAAGTTGAATGTTAGAATGTAAACAAAGATTTCTTCTGGACGTGTTGCCATATAAATTACTAGGGGGCTGCGTCAGCAGGATACAGCCAAGCTTACTAGCGGCGGTCAAAACTTTTGGTGCACGCCTCCGTATATTACCCATAGATATTCTACTTACAGTAGCTAGTCAGCTATGTGTAATATATTGATCACCCTATCTTTAAACTATAAAGCAAAGACATTATAGTGTTAACTATAGCAAGAGAAAAGACCCCATATCTACTAAGCTAGGGAACCCAGGAGGATGACTAGGAAGATAAGAAAGATAAATAAATCTAGGAGCTGCAGAAACTTGTCTATAAACTTAAGGCAACCTGGGTATCCTAGGAGAACACTGCAACTAACACAGCACTAGTGTCAAGGACTACTTAGAGCAACTCCATGCTCAAGTTGTTGCTTAGGCACCAGCATCCTCTATCGGTGATACCTTGGGTTCTTGGCGGGTTGGCGGGTAGCAGCCCATGGATACCCGGAAAATCGATATGGAGAGGATGTGAGCTATTTGTTAGCGCGGTTGGTGCAGGAAGCCCCTCATGAGTCACATAGATGAAGTTTGACAGATACTATGTGGGGTAAGCATATTTAGACATGGTGGGCGAGCCTTGATCAACAAAGCGCTCCTCACCTTAAGTGATCTTTGGAAACTCAAAAGGCGCCTAGACTTTAAGTCAGGCTTTGATAATATCTCCGGTGGTTTTTCTTACGGCGTGTGAGCAACAGAATATTTGAGGCTCGTCCCTAGTAGCAGGGGGAGACGAAAGGTAAAGTGGGGTCTTAATCAGGCATAAATATGGGGTTTAGTGTCTTACCACGAGTCCACAACTGAAGCACTGCGCATTTGAGAACTGCTGCCACCGGCCAGATTCGAATCACCCTTGCCTCGGAATCGCCCGTCTTGTTCCCCGATCGACGTCGAGAGACAGAGTTGGATCTGCTGCCGACCAGTGTCGACCGATTCTATGCGTCAATGGACGAGATTGGGCTGAGCTATAGCGGGCCCTTCAGGGCCATGACGTCCGTGTAAGGTAGCCCATGGCCGAGTGCAGAATATGTCCCTGGTGGCCAACAGGGAGAGGCCGAGCGACAGAAGCTAGAAGCTTAACTACTTCGTTATACGGCCCTCCCTGGATAATCACAATCTTCGAATTCGATCGACCCACTCTCTGTTTCAATGATAAAGCCGGATTCTCGCAGGAGCTGACACCAGCGCTCCTCGGATAGGAACAAATCATCGACAGAATTCCCCATCCACGGCTTATCTAGCATCCAAGCACAATCCCATGTGGGATCATAAGTCACCGTTTTCGGAACCAGAGAGCTACTGGGGGTCACTCCAAGAACCACATATCCCCCAACCTTGATCCACTGAGAGAAGCGCATAACCATGGAGCACATATCGCATGGCGACATTTGGAACAGAGATCGGATTGCAAAGACTGCATCAAACAATGTCGATGGCTGATACGTCTTCATATCACCCACTTGAAACTTGCCCGGAACTTGGGACTTTGCGATTTTCACCATCTCTTCCGATATATCAATCCCGTGAACTTCATGACCGGCAGAGGCAAGTATGTGAGACACAGGCTTGCCTGTTCCACAGCCGACGTCTAGTGTTCTGCTTCGAGGAGGGATGGTTTTTGCCACAAGCTCAATAAACCTCTGTAGCTCCTTGTCCATGCCAAAAGCGGCCTCATAACGGGCCCCCAAGCTGTTGAATAGGGTTTCTGCTTCTGTCGCCATGTTTGAGTGTTGTAATGTGTTGTAATGTTAAATATTCAATAAAAGGATCTAAGCAGATGGAGTAGAAAGAACTCTAAACCACATGCGTTTCAGAATTGTTATAAGCCCTTGCCCTTTGATGGAAGAGACGAGAATGGGATAGTCAATACGTAATCAGTCTTCTGCTTAGATGGCAATGTTACACCATTGTATGTCCTAGCATTCAGTTGTGCGACTTGCTGGTGAACACACACTGGGTGATTAAGTAGCTGCAGCTTGACAAGAGTCACAAGATGCAGGAAATCATCTTAGGTGACGTCCCCATGCAGAGACGCTCTGCAAGGTAGCATAGTGGTCTGATTATCTAATACCCTAATACTTGACAAGCAAGGGACATTGTTGACAAAGAATAATGCACACTGCGCCAATATTGTCTCATTTGATCTTCATCCGTTGTCCTGACTCAGTATTAGGCCGTGGCCACTTCAACTTGTCAGCATGGATCTGATCAAACTCTGGTCTTTAGCAATAGTCTCTGGTTGGATGAAGAGGCAGGTACTTTGGCAAGCTCTAATGGCTTTCAATGCGCTGTTAAGGAGTACTTCATACATTTTTACACTTGTACACCTAAAGTTCCATAACCCTTACCACAATGAAAAACATATATCTCTCTTGAAAACATTAATTCTTCTGCCAAACCATCTACATACTCATAAAATTATATGCAAAGCTATGATTCTATAGAAATGACTAAACAATTTGAAAACTATCGATAGAAAATCTACTATTTAGTATGGGTGATGATACATCGACAGCCCCAAGTGTTACAGTAACCCAATCAGGCAGGTGAGAGTCATGTGACTCAGCTAAGAAAGGAAAACAAATGCAGTTGCCATACAATTTGATGGTAGAATTCACAGTATCAACTCATTCAAATTCCACCTCCTAATTATATCTCACCTGATCATATCGTTCCGTTCGAGATTGAATGTTTCCCTCGGGGATAATCGGAACTCGCGAAATATCAATCAATCGAATCATTGAGGAACGCATTCCCATAGTGTTGGGTTTACCTAGAACGAGGCGCTGAGACAAGGACTGACCACACCGTCCAGACACGGAAGCTAGGAAACGTCAACTCCAGCTGGTCAGGAACTGGATTCTGATACGCCAATTCAAAGAGGATGTATCTGCGTGTATCCGTGCTCCAGACGCAAAATGATAACCACGTGACCGACGCGCTGGACGTGTCAATTGTGAATACAACTGGCATTGGGCAGGAATAATCCATTACGATTCACAGGATTGATTCCTGATCTCATCATTATCCCGACTGCGTTCTCCTCGAAATCTGAGCATTTCAAGAGACTGTAGTGGACACAGCTCGAAATTGCCTCCTCGGAGATCCCGTGCCCAAAATGGCACGCAGCTTGGATCAACTTCCACCGGAAATTTTGATGACGATATTGGACAAGATGCATATATCACAGCTTTCGACCATGATCCGGGTCAACCGACAGTTTTTCACTCTCGGCATTCCACGCCTCTGGCAAGCACAGGGAGGTACCTATCTCGCCAAAGTCCCAAAGGATCGCCGTGGGGTGTACATTCCTCTGATCCAGGAACTTGACCTGTCCGGATTTGCCAAAGACGTTTACGAGGAGTTTAAAGACTTTGTGTTCCATAATGTAAGAAAGCTCTCGGTCTCGCTGGAGGAGGATGACGAGCCTATCGCCTACTGCAGCTATCTCACACACCTCATAAACCCTGGTCTTCAACTGCTGGGCTTGGGGGGCGACATTTCACCTGACTTCCTTTTTGACGTGCAAACCAAATGTCCTAAGCTGCGGTCGGTCAGTATCTGGCGCTGCGGACCTTGCGTCACGCCGACCGATTTGCTTACATTTTTGAGGGGTCTCCCCTATTTGGAGAGCCTGCGCATCAGCATGGATCATCACGCCATGACAGATTCCAAGGTCATTGAATTTCTGGCCAGGTCTTCAACACTCGAGCAGTTGACTCTGGAACAAATTTACCCTGAGTTGTTATGGGATGCGTTGTCAGTTGAATCGCCTTTTCCAGCGCTGAGGAAATTGGACATTGAGATCTGTCAAGACGCACTCACGTCGATGGCTAAGCTTTTCGGCTCTGTCCTGCACCTCCGCGTGGAGCCGATGACCACAGAGTACTTGGATTCACGGGAAATAGAAGTCAGAATACGACCCCTCTCGGAACTGACGCAACTGCGAACCCTAGAGATCGGTTTCAACGGCAACTCTTTCTACGGCAACATGACCATTGTACCCGAAGACATCGTCTCTCTGAGGAGTCTCAGCAATCTGACAAGTTTGACGCTAGCTGGACTACGCAAGCCTCGCCCGGGGGACGCTGAGATTAGCGATGATGACTTCCACCGTCTGGTTAGTGGCCTACCGGATCTGGAGACACTGTCTCTTCACCCCCTTCCCAGTAAGGTCACCCCAGCTTCTCTCGCAGCGTTGGCGGAGTGCTGTCCACGGCTCGAATCCTGTTTTGTCGGTGGGGGATTACATGTACTAGACCTCCAGGATTACAAAGCGCCTTTGTTTCCAAGGCTTGGTTCATTTCGAGTTGGACGCTTCCTGGATCAACGACTCGCGGATCGTGTCGAACCGATTGAAAGGCGGGCACAGGAGCATGCCCAGCAGCTCGAACGGCATTTCCCCAAGGCAGACATCCGGGTTTTGCAAAATGGCTGGTTTTCCACCCCGTCGGCATTCGATTCTGAGGTGATGCGGTTATTAAGACCAAAAAATGAGCGGGATTTTGAACCTGACTCTTGACCTTTAGACACTTGCATCCTGTACCAGGACTACCCATTTGTATCTCTTTTATCTGTGACTTTACCAAATTCTTGTTCATAGATGCCGGAGTGCGTTAGCTGGGGAACATAACCTCTCGTCAAGAATATCAGAATGCCTCCATATTCCAACTATTGCCCAGTAATAAATAACCGGAACAGCAACTGTGCATAGGTTATATACAAAGCTTGTGCCATACATACTCCAAGTACAGATAATCGACAGAATCCGCCCCGAACCGATTCCAAAGAAAGGCATGACCGACATGACAAAAAGGAAATCTTGGTGTCCAATTGCAATTGGCTGGTATCCATCTATCGATAACGACGTCGCTATACAACACAACAGAAAAAAAGAAATATATACAGTGAACGGAGGGTGGCCAACAACGAAGGGGGCCGGCGAAGTATTATGACAGGAATTAATTGTAAACAGCGACCGTGTTCTTTTTGCGTCGAACCGTCAGCTTTACTGACAGAGGCGGTAATTGGAAGCGACCCCATCCTGCTCCTGTTAGCTTCGCATACTGAAGTGAATAAATAGCAAGCGACTTACTGTGGATTCTGGGACGGGTAGCAAAAGGTTTGATTTCGTATTTGAGGAGCATTTCGGCGATGAGAAGTTTGAAGATGTGTGCGAAGAGCCAGCGGCCGGGACATTGTCGGCGGCCGTGGCCAAAGACTAGGTATGTGTCGCTGGTGTTGGTCATGAGGTTCTGCCGTCGTTCCTCGGGCGTGGCGTCCTCCTTGTAGAAGCGATAGGGGTTGTATTCGTCGGGATTGGGGTAGAGGTCGCTGTCGCGGTGGACGGCGTACTGGGGGATACCGATTTTTGTTCCGTAGGGGAGGAAAACACCATTGGGGAGGATGGCGCCTTCTGGTGCGACGACCTGGGGTATCGGATTAGCGTGTCTCTTAGCGTGCAGATGAATAAAGAATACCTTTCTTGTAGGCGAGACGGCATTGACGCCGTTGAAGCGCAGAGACTCTTTGATGGCACTTTCTAACAGACTGGCTCGTTCCAGGTCAGCGGCAGACCATGAGCCGTCCGAGGTGGCGGCAATCTGCTCGATTTCCGCTTGCAGCATATCCATGAACCCTTCGTCGGAGGGATAGCTGAGGATGTCGAGCAAGGCGCTGGTGGCGGAGATACCGCTTGTATGTACACCGGGGAAGTTGATCATGAAGATTCGGTAGGCCAGCCACATGGTTTCGAGTTCCACAGGCCACTTGCTGCGCAGGCCAGCTTGGATGAGCAAGTCGAGAAGGCTCCCCTGGACGATGTCAGACATATCAAATGACGTCAGTTCTAAGAGAACGTACGTTCGTCCGGAGTCTTTCTTGCAGGGACACCGAGTTATAAGCCTCTTTCTGCTCCTTGATCTTGGCCTCGATGATAGGCTTCATACGGGCGTGGAACACTCGCTCTTGCCATCGGTTCACGAGTCCTACGATTGGACCGATAATGCTGTTTGCAATTAGAAGAAATGCTATCAACATTGAGGGCGCTGGACATACGGGTGAAGAAATGAAGGAAAGGCCTTGATGACGTTGGCCCCAAGGACAATGGCATTGGAGCAGTTAGTCATGGCGTTGAGTAGGCTGGTATCGTGGCTTCTGCCTGGCCCGATCGCCAGCACATTGACCATCCGGGCCGCGGCTTTCTCCATAAAAGAGTACAGGGGAACCTCGACCCAGTTGTCCGTGTCCTCGCCCCAGATATCCGAGAGGCAGGATCGCGCCTCCTCGGCGAGGGACTCGGCGACGGCTTTGGATCTCAGGGTGTCGGTTAGGTCTTTGCTGACCAACTTGACGAAGAACTCATATCTCTCGGCGAAAGCAAGAGGCCAACTGGTGTACTTGAGCTGGAAGAAGTCGCTAATGTGAGCCTTGAAGCTATAGTCGGATTCCTTGGCGAAGAGAACGGCGTTGGTGTGCTCTTTGGGAAGAATGACTTCATCGCCCTCATTGACACTAGGCATCACAAAGGGTTGTTGATTCTTGGAGTACTGCAGGCCACGAGGTCAGCAATCAACCCCCACTTCTGTATACATCCAGCGCCATAGCACGGCATGGAAATAGAAAACCCACCTGTTCATAACCCTCTTGAATGAAGCCGATGGGGTTGACGCCGAGGAAGCGCTCAGCAGCGCGGCCAAGGAAGCCCTTCTTACTCAGGACCCATGGGATGTCCTTGGGCACCGGTGAGGTCTCAAAGAGCTTGACAATGAAACACAAGAGCATGCACAGCACACCTGTGGCGGACACGGTGGAGGCGTTGATGTCGAGCAGCATGGTTGCTGTCACATATCCGGAAAAGGAAATAAACGATAGCTGGGGGAGGGGAAGATCTGTGAACGAATGTCGATCCCTGTCAAGGATGATCGTTCGCGGTTGGACGTGGGCCGTGGGAGGGCTCAAATACCCCGAGTAAACTTGATCATCATCGTGGAGAGATCGGATATCTGGTAGAATTTTGTGGACTTGGGCACCAACAACAAATGAACGACGACAGTCGAAGCAAAGGGAAGGAGTGGATGGATGCTATGATGGCTGGGGTGCAAGCAAGAATAATTCATTGCCATGAGGAGTAGATATGGTTCCTGGTTTAGTGCCGTTAGTTGATTAGGTATTATTCGGCAACGCCTGCTGGATATGTATGGCTGTTGCGGACAAAACGCTCCCAAGAGCCCGGAGAGAATCTCGACGGGGTAGATAGGCCAATCGGGGCCAGAGTTGTCGTCGACCAGCTGGGTCCGTGGGTGATTAAATGGGTTCGAGACAGGTCTACGTAACGATTATTAGATCGAGTGCGGTTCGGAAACAAGCGATGCCATCCCCCAGGAACGCCACGTTACATGGCAGGCGACAACCTTAAGAGTTTCAAGTACAGCTTGAGAGCTGTGCCCATTACTGCGCAGGATGGCTTGTGGGATGTTCAATTGATGCGCGCTTGTCGATGCGCTGTCGGAGAATTATTGTTTGGTGTGCAGATTGTCGATGTAGCAAGAACATTCGATAGAGACAACATAACCCCGGCACACTGGGGATCAACTCGACTGCATGAACTGGATTAATATCCAGGCTGCTGCAGAAAAATGGGTTGTGCAGATTGCAAGAATGGAGAATCATCCTTGTGGTGATTACTGATTACAGGGGAAGAACATTAAGCATTCCTGCATTATATGAAAAGGGTTTAGGGCGACAATTTCTCATTTCCACCTGTCCGGATTGGTCGTTTTAGTGCCCAATTTACAGTTCTGACCGGTCGATAGTGCCCACTAGTTCTTCTGGATCGCCACTTGGGCTGGTCCCGACAGCCAATCATGTCCTTCTGCAGACAAAGGGTGGCCAATCAACCGGCCTGCTGGGATTCCAAGGTTTTGGGCCGCGGCCTCAAAAAAGAGTCAAGGGATACGATAGGCTGAGAAGAAGTCTGAGAAGAATGCCATACGGACTTACGGAGAATGGAGGACTCACCCAAAATATCCATAGGCGAGACTCTACGCGCACTGAGCTAAGGCCGTCTGTCAGTCTGTCAGACAGACACTAAAACAAGGCCACGCGAGAGTGGGTTGAGGAAATCTCCGACCTGTCGATGACACTAGGATGGTTAAAAGACTGATCAGCATTGAAGATGCGATTGTACAATGATCATGTCGATTGGCTGATCCTCATCTTTGGCAGGACCCTGATGCAAGCATTCGATAACAGTCGTACAGTGGCAGTGTCCTGGTATTTGACAATGAGATAACAGGTCAGATCGATGACTAATCCGAGAGCATGATTGACTCAACTGCAGCGAACTCGTATCAGTCAAGCCACCCTCCTTGGCTTGGAGTGGGAGAATACCTATCCAACTGCTTCATACGTACGTACAGTGTCAGTGCTCAACCAGATGATCTGATTTCATTTCAGGCAGAGGCCATGACTCGTGAGCTTCCCTTGGCCTCCAGTAGAGAGTCATTTAGGATCATAGAATGTGTGAAGGAGCATATACAGAGTGAACCAGACTCGCGCCCTCCTTCGCTCACATTATTGAGTTTGGAGTTGAAACAGGGGTTTCTGACTGGTCATTGATGCACGTACAGGCGTATGTCTCCTGTACAGTTCTACATCCTTGGCTATCCATCTGGTCACGGAGTTTCGTTCAGTCTGACACATATAGAATCAATGGTCTCCTTCACTACTTCGTACTTCTCTCAATGCTGACGTCGACGTCAGAGAGGTTCAAGTCTTACCTTTCCTGACAAGCCCAGCTACTCAATATTCTTGCTAGGCTCATTGGCCAATCAGCGCCCCTCATTCTAGCCAAGATCTTTATAATCCGCATCAGGCTTAGTGTCCCTGCCTGCATTCACCAAATAGCCAATCATATCCAACTCCCTCAGACCTCTTGTCCTAAAATATGGCTCCCAGAATACAGAGACTGCATCAACCCCTATATACTCTGCTAGAAGTTGGTCGTTGCGACCTCCCACCTTGCCAAGTTAACCCTACTACGGAGTACTATCTACCTAATTGATTGAGTAGTAACAGTGCCTTCTGTGGGTCCCTTGGCATTATGCACATACTGTTGCTCCCTTCTATCTTGGTCAACCCACCCCCCTTCCATAGTGGGTTTGCCTTATTCCTGTCCCTTTGAGAGATCACACCTACCAAATCAGATGCCTGCTCGTCGCAGTCCTCGTCCACTCAATCTGATGCCCGGCCCAGACGCGAAATGGAAGCTATTTCACTTTCAGGAGATGATTGGCATCCTCGCAATCTGATCAATAATCATCAATTATTATTGTTGCATTTCCATGCCACTGCAGGCCCTGGTCCACGCGATGCTTTTGTTGGCCTGTTCTCCCCCAGTAGTTGCCTTTCCACTCTGCAGGCCCTTTCGCTCTTGCTACTTCATCTGTTCTTCTTAGTTGTAAGGCATGATCATCTTTAAGGTGGCTGCGGTGCCCGTTGAAAAGGCAGGCCGGGCTCTTTCAGGCCATTAGCCATTGGCACCCATCTTGCTATGCCCGTTCAGAGGCTACTCCGAAGGTCACCCCTCCAATGCTCTCAATGTAGTGAGCGACAGATGGAGGTATGTTGATGGCTTCATGTCCTATCACCTTGGGTCCTATCATGGCTGCTTACCACTCCTGCTCTCTAGTGCTCAAAGACTCGCCCTCCGTGCGACGGATGCAGGCGTCATCGCCTATCCTGTCGTTACCGTAACTCGGTTCCCTCGAAACAATGCCGACCAGCCTCCAAAGCGACCCCGTCCAAAGCGACCCCGTCCAAAGGGAAAGCTTCCTCTTCCTCCGACGACTCGTCCTCGTCCTCGTCGTCCTCGTACTCCTCACCTTCTCCTCCCGCCCAACAATATCCTCCTTCTGCCGACAGCCCCTCCACATCCCATTCCCCCGAGTCCAATATCTCCGAGGTCGATCAGGATGACAAGGTCAAGGTCTTGGAGGCTCAGGCTGGCAAACCGTCCGACGACCTGAACGCCGAAGATCAACGCCTATTGGACAACTGGTGCAACTCTACGGAACAATCCCTCGCGCACAGCAACAGCAAGGACCACCCATGGCAGGCCATCATCCGGCGCGAGGCATCCCAACACCCTGCCTTGAGGCATAGCACGCTGGCTCTGTCCGCCGTACAACTCGCATCTACCAGTGAGGCTGGTACTCCACAACGCGACGGTCACTTGCAGGCGGCCGAAAGTCACTACACACAGGCCACGGAGAAGCTCCCGAACATCCTACAAACCCCTACAGCATCCGGGCCCAACGCAGCATTCTCCGCTGCGAGCATTCTCTTCATGTGCGACCTTGCGTCCTCTGCGCTGGCCGGAGAGGGCTCCCAGTCCGTTCTCCCGTCGCTCGACAACCAGACACCCACCCCTCAAAAAGAGAGTCATGACACATCACCTTCTTCCTCTCCTTCCCTACAGAAGCTCCTCGACCTCTTCGATACCATCAGAGCCTTACTCCCCAGCCCAGAGACCCTGAAAAGCGTCGAAAATGGCGCCCTCAAAGACCTTTTCACCCAGGGAGATCCATACCACCAACTGCCCAGCACCTACACCCTCACCGTTCTCTCCATGAAGAACTTGAACTCCGTCAGCGCGAAAAAGGACCCAGCGCACGAGACGGCCGTCTACAACGACACCATCGCAAACCTGGACAACTCGCTCGAGATGCTCACCAAAGGCGGCGATCCGACGACGATCGCCCTGCGCTGGATGTTCCGCATCCCCAGCCGATATCTGGATCTCGTCCGAGAGGAGCAACCCCTAGCACTCATAATCTTCGCCCATTACTGCGCGGTTCTGCACCATCTCCGCGATCGGTGGTGGATGGGTGACTTGGGGGCTCGGTTGTTGAAAGAGATCTGTCGACTACTGGGGCCGGAGCGGATGGGCTCGATTTTATGGGCCACGGATATCGTAGGCATTCAGACATGATATTCAGGCATTTGCGGCAATTCTGTCCTCCTTATTAGCGATATGGTTTTGCGGCATGATTTATTCGCATGTCTAGAGGAAAATTCATCAGTTGCTTGTCGATGATACCCAGTAACAATGATCAGAATGTCATCTTTATCGTCATTTGTCATCTTCTATGGTAATCTGTGCTAGGCAATTAATCGTTTGCGTCGCATACGCAGCTGTATCCTGTGCCAGATAAATATGCTTTTATCTGGCTGAAAAGGGCAGAAGGACAGAAGGACAAACTTGAGCGGCGGAATATTCCACATATATCAACGTTAAGTAGTCTAGAAACTCTGATCCTGGGTGCGCGGTCTGCTTTGAAAGTATATAAAATAAATAAACCATAGGCCTTCTTCATGCAGAAGGGAGTCATTGAGCAGTCATAGTGTGGTCTTACCACAGATATGAATCTATATATATCTTTGCCATGGCTGACTTGGTATGGTAAACATATATCACTCTCTGTTTTACTCATGATTAATTTATCCACGTTCCTTTTAAAAATCACCTAGACAACGCTTTCATTAATCGTGATAGTTCCAGGATCACATTTTCTGAATGGCAATAGAATTAATCAGAATAACCTGGTGTGGATTATGCGGCTCCTATACTCTATCCATGTTTGGTTAGGTGGGCACAGCAAAAGCCTTGGGAGGGAACCAAGTTTCCTTTGATAATGCTTATGATCTGCTAGACTCTATAAGCCTATCAGCAGTTAATAATAGCCAAAAGTCAGATATGACTGTTGTGTCCAAACCTTTCCATCACCTGGCGAAGAAGCCGGAATCAAACTTGGTTGGCGAGAAAGCTTCTCAATCAATATGTCCCTGTGCAGTATGTTTGCTCAAGCAGTCTTAAGCGCCATCATCCCTCCAGTGAACACGCCTTTTATCCTCATAGGTTCCATAACTCTCCCGTGCGAAGACGCAAGAGCAAGCAACTTTTAATGTCAGACCTAAAGCTCTGAACTGAAAAGACATTACATTGCCATGGCAAGCGGTGGGCAACACGGCGATATACCAGACAGGCTATCACGGCCAGAGCAGTAGCTGGCATAACCGCTACCCCATATGGAGAGAGTTCTACCGCCTCTCATAGACCAGAATGTGCCTTGTATGAGAAAGACTCCATACTCCCATAAAAGAGGAACTACTCATGCGACAAATGCAAGGCTGGAACAAGATTGTAAGCCTGATCCGAGAAGCCTTTCTATAGTGGCACTGGTCGATCTCGAAGTCGATTTATGGCCTTTTATGGCTCAGCATGGTGGTGGTTTCGAGTCTTGCATGCTCAGGAAGTTCATGGGACATTGGCATAGGTGGTCCACCCTTGTTAAATGCTGCATCATTGCTGATTTGGTTGTCGAGCGCCCTCGAGCCTAGTCTTCATCTCCTGGAAGATGTGCTCACTTACGGGGACGAAAAGCCTGGCCACAGTGAGATCCTCATTTACTTCTGAAGGGTAGGAAAATATGCTTTTACTATCAGCCAAGGTCTCTGCAACTGATAATCCAAGGACCAACCACTTGAACCATGCACGAAATGACTGAAGCTTTTACTGAGTGGGCAAGGAAGCTGGATGTGAGAGTTACATCAAGTTAGACAAAGAAGTGAATGAAGTGTAAACAATCCTTCATCTTATATCTTACCTACCTGGTTTGTATTCACTTATGGGCTAACAAACACAACAGTCATTACATTCACTTATCATTCTCAGATCAACACTTTCTGGCAGAACTCGAAGCAATTCTTGACTACCATACTCTTCATCACATCTCAACTCTCGATCTCCTCATCTTAATGAAGCCTTTTACTACTCATCATCATCCTATTACATTACTTTAGTCTCATACCTGAGTTCGCTCCTCCCTCACATACCTCAAATCTACGTTGAAAGGGCGATAGCAGCATCGAGCCCAGACTCCATACATCGATCTTCTCCTGCCATAGCTGGACCTTCAACATAAGGCTTACTGCGGCAGTTCCAATCTCTCATCTTTAACTTCTCATCACCCATCTCATTGCTATTTTCCAGCCAGGAATCAATATGAACCTTCTTGATCTACCCACTGAGGTGCTCGCCATGATAGCAGGCGCCCTCCAGAACGCGAAGGACATCAACAGCCTCGCACGGACAAGCCGCGCTCTCTACTCTTGTATCAACTACGTCCTCTACAAGTCCGATGTGCAGAATGAAAGCGGAAAAGCTCTGATCTGGGCTGCACGACGCAACAAGCCGGCGACCGCCAGGATGTCCCTCCAGGCAGGCGTTAAAACACTGAAACAATGGCATCGGACGCCTCTAGTCTTCGCGTTAAAGCGCGGCCACGAAGCCATGATGCGACTGTTACTGGACGAAGGTGTTGATCCGGACGAGATTCTTTTTGAAGGCTCTCGAATGGAAACTACTGCTTTATACATGGCGGCTAGCAGTGGCTATGACGCTATTGTCAAGCTCTTGATCGACAAGGGTGCGAGCGTTAATCTCAAGAAGGCTCCTGGACACCCTTTGGTAATCGCTGCATCCAACAACAGGAAAACCGTGGTCAGACTTCTACTTGAGAATGGTGCAGATCCTAACGCCACCCGGCGATATGATAATACAACGGCTCTTAACATTGCAGTGATGAGGGGGAATAGTGAGATTGTAAGCATGCTACTACACAAGGGTGCGCATACAGAAATGGGCGATGACCACGGAACTACACCACTTCATGCAGCGATAAAGAAAAATCACTGCAAAATCACCCAGCTATTACTAGAAGGAGGAGCGGATGTGGGAGCCCGCGACAGTTCTGGATGCACTCCGTTGGACTCAGCCATGACATACGGCTCTCAGCGATCGCTGTCTCTGTTCCTGAAGCATGTGGAACTAAACGCTCAGAATTGCTGGCGTCTGCATACTGCCATAACTATGAACAAGACTGCTGCTGTCCGGTTGCTTCTCGCTCATGGTGCGGACATCAACCGCAAAGATTCAGAGGGCCAGACCCCTTTGCTCTATGCTATGCTCCAGGGATATGATCATCTCGTCGAACTTTTGTTGCTTTACGATGTCGACCCAGACGCCGAAAGACACGACGGACTCAGTCCGTTAAAGTTAGCAAATGAAATAAACAGGGAAGACTGGGCGCAAAAACTAAGAGAAAAGCGTGATGAACGCAAGTCCTCGCGCTCATAGTCAACATTTGATTCTCTTGGTATTGAGTCCGCTGGCCCCGAAGAAGGACAATTCTCCGTGCCCTTAACCAGGAGTGTCATCTATCGGACTTGCGGATTCTCTCTTTAAACTCTCTCAGGCGTCCCTCGCTGATATGCTTGTTATTTGTCAGGGAAGAATGGAAATTCGTGGATTCTCTCCACGGCCGAGAACTCTCCGATGCAGTGGGAAAGGAATTCAGTCATTTCATTGCTAGTCTAATACCGATTCGTTTGTAGTTCAAAGCACACTGACTATTAGATGAATCAAATGCATATGTCACTTGAATAAGAGTCGTCCAGAATTGAAGTAGATGGTCTGCATTGATAGTTTGTAGTCCGGTAGACTGAAAATGGTCTTGGATGTGAATAATGAGGGGTTTATAACGGCATTTTGGCTGCATTTGACGAATTGCCATCCCTGCCGAATGAGATACTTAGTCTACTAGTCGTACGTAGCAGTCCTGCATGTCACCATGTTCTGCTGAAAAGCACGCCATTCCGAAGGTTTGCCCGCAATCGAACGACAAGCCTGAGAGATAAATACCCCCATGTCCTTTCCCTCCACCTGGGCATGGAATCCAAGTTCAAGATCGTCCAGAAAGAAATAAACTGATTGAACTCCTAGAATGGCACAACCAAACGTCCCAGCAACAGACCCCGCAGTGTACGACGCCTACAAGGAGAAATGGGCTGCTCTCCCTGACTCCGCAGACGCATGGCTTGCACGAGCGCATGAAGTGGCTGAAATTCTTGGCCAGGATGCAGCTCAACGAGATCAAGACAACAAGTCACCTCGTGCAGAGGTCGCCTTACTGAAGCATTCCGGTCTGTTGAAGCTTCTGGGGCCGAAGAAGTATGGCGGCGGAGAACAGCCGTGGCATGTGGGCTACAAGGCGATCCGAGAAGTGGCCAAGGGGGACGGGTGCGTATCAATAATCGACATGCGAAAACTGGCTAAGTGAATTTCAGGTCCATTGGCATGCTTCTCGGATATCATCTCCTCTGGTCGACGACCGCCAATGTGGTTGGAACTGCCGAACAAGCCGATCGTCTACAGGAACTGATCATCACGAACAACTTTTTCGTCGGAGGAGCGGTTAATCCTCGGGACAATGACTTGAAGATAACTGCAGAAGGTGACTCGATCGTCTTCAACGGGTTCAAGCACTTCAATACTGGTGGTGTGGTTTCCGACCTTACGGTCCTTGAAGGCGTGCTGGACGGAACCCAGGACCATATATTTGCCATTGTGGAAACTAATCAGCCCGGCATTCAATTCGCACACAACTGGAAGAATATTGGTCTGCGGTTGACAGAATCTGGGAGCGTTAAGATCGAGAATGTGCGTGCATCTTGGACCGATGCATTAGGATGGGACGCAACGAGCAAAAGACCAGTCGCAGAGGTTCTCACCATTCCCTTTGCCTCTTTGTTTCTACCTACGTAAGTGCTGCATGACTGCTTCCGCACTGTCTGTACTGACTGTACTAGAATTCAACTGGTCTTCAGCAACTTCTACCTCGGAATCGCCATCGGCGCCCTCGAGTTCGCAGCCAAGTATACTGCCACGTCCACACGCCCCTGGCCCTATGGCGGGGACAACAAGGACGCCGCCACGGACGAGTTCTACATCCTCGAACGGTACGGGAACTTCTTTGCACATCTGCGTGCGGCAGAAGCACTTGCCGACAGAGCAGGCGATCAACTTTCAGCGCTGTACGAACGTCATTCAGGCGATCGGTCCAAGGTGACAGCTGAGGAACGAGGGGAAGTGGCTGAATGGATCGCAAGTGTGAAGGTGGTCACTACAGATGTCGGACTTCGAGTCACGTCCGGCATATTCGAGGTGACTGGCGCGCGAGCGACGTCGCTGAAGGTGGGGCTGGACAGGTTCTGGAGGGATATTAGGACGCACACCTTGCATGACCCCGTGGCGTACAAGAACCGGGAGCTCGGCAGATATGTGCTACTGCATGAGTACCCGGAGCCTACATGGTATACTTAGCTCGGGCTTTGATTCAAGCAATAATAGCTGGCTGGATATAGATCTATGCTAGTCTGAATGGCTCAACCCTGGACGCACCCGATAAGGATCTGACCATTTCGACCTGCTTTCCCTGTAAGATCAAATCGTGATGAAGATATGTATCACCAATGAGTAACCACTCTCTTCCCCACGGTCGTAAAATAAAAGGCAGACTTCCCCCAAATAGAACGACTACTTGGTCCCCTGGCTGCATCATTTGCGGACCAAGTCCGACAAGCCCTGATCTCGTTCGATACATCCGCCTGTTCCACGAATAGAGCCAAAGTGGATGCGTATATGCATTCTCATCTCCAGGGAGATCCGCTGATTGCCCCTCTGGTACTAGATCGGGGTAGGATAATCCCTGTGCGGGGGGATGTGCCTGCAGCCACGCCAAAATGTTACTCTTTACCTGCCGCGTCAAGGCGTCCCAAGCGTCAAGTCTTGAGTCCTTCCAGGAGACTTGCTGGCTGATGAACATGCCGATCACCCCCAGCATGCCAGCACCGATCGTTTGCAAGAAAGCAACATCTAGAGCCTCGCTTGTCCCTGTGTACTGGAAGCCTGGACGCGGAAACAACGGAAAGTTGAAGAGCTGAGACCATATCGTTTCTATTGGCGGCTTTTCCGTGTACTTGTAGTGAATAAGGTCGCTCACAGCGTCAACCAGATCAACACGATACCCGTCCAGCTGGAGCACATCTGGCTCGACTGATTTGCCATCAAGGGGAGAGTCGTGAAGCTCCGCGAAATACCGATAGTGGCCATGCATTGGAATACCAGCGAGAAACAGACCAGGCGGAAAGAGTGACACTGAGCGTTCTTCATGCAGCTTAGGAACCCAGGATGGCCAATAGTCCTGTACCGGATGTGTAGTATGCTGTACGAGTGATAACATGTCCAGCTTTCGTGGCTGCTGGCGCACACTGAACCTCGTAAAGTCTCGGTACACTTCCCGGACAGGCCTGGAATAGGTTGGTCTCAAGGCAGCAGGCCTGAGGAAATTGATATCTGGTCCGAGCGAGTTCACCTTCTCGGAAAGCCATATGACGCCGCGCTGCAAGAGCGACAAGGCCCTCGAGTTATGTGCACCTTCGACTTGGGTCAGTGCCAGAACGGGCTGCAATCCTTCGTCCGAGATCCCGAGAAGAGCAAAGATCCGATCGCGGGGATCAGTGCACTTGAAGTTGCGGATTCCTGCAAGTAAACTGAACATGCGGCCGATAGATCCCCCCACGTATTGCTGTTCTCTCCACACCAGTATTTTCCGTCTGGCGGCGACAACGATATTCCAAAAAGACACCGTACCATCCGGAAAATCAAAGCCCTGAGCATCCATGATAACCCCCCGGATGTTACAGACATATCTCAGCAGCGAGATCAAATCAAAGAAATCCATCTCGTGCTGTCCGCATTTTGCAATGCAGCGTTGCGAGGCGACAACCTCCTGTATACACCACACGCGCTCAAAGTACTGGCCCGCGAAAAGGCAAGCCAGTGCATCCGTCGCCCGTGGCTCTGCGGTGAGCGACTCCCACAGGATGGCGTCGGCTTCAGTCTTCATCGAGTAGAGTGTCCTCCCATCGGACGCAGTTGTCGCGGTTTGATTCATATCCTTCTGCAACTCGGACAATCTCCTCGCAAAATCGAATGCTTCTTTCGTTTCGGGCATACCGGGCCCAAGCCATGCGATGACTGCAACTGCATGCTTATATACAAGCCTCATGTAGCCGACCTGACGCTCTCGCTCCCTCAGATCATCCTGGTTAATGCAGACCGCATCGACCCAGAGTCTGCGATGAGCATGAGGGAGACGTAGATGGCGAAGCGCGATGTTGAGGTTCAGGGTTATGCTGAGTAGGCCATTGCCGCAGTAGAGGGGCACAGGCGCCCGTTCGCTGCCCCATACATACGACAGGGCTTCAGGAGGCCATGGACAGTGCTCAATATCAACAATGTCGAGGGTACAGTATAGTGGATCTTGCTCTGTGCCAGGATAGAGAGTCAAAACGCGTGTGAACGCGGGATTCTGGCCGACTTCGTCAATGGGTGGTAGGGGTATGTATTGGTACTGGGCCATTGCAGTCAAAATAAGAATGTCCTCATGAGGAACAGAGGAAGGATTAAAAGTTTGATCGCGAGAATGTGGGGTTGAGACTTGAGGCTGTCGAGGCCAAGATTGATCGGCTGATTCAATACGAGAATGCGCAGAGATCTTTTACGCCCGGGCTATCACGATGATTACTCTATTGGTCGAAATTGTAGCATTAGAGGTCAGTTAATGTGTTAGATACTATATTTGGCTGCTTGAAGGATAGGAACCATGTCGGAACAGCATTGATATATCAGTCGTTCCCTGTCTCTCTTAACATTAAGGCCAGCTCATCTCTTTCCAAGGCACTGGTTACGACTAAAGCACATTACAGCGCCTAGTTAATATTCGGCGACATTTGTCTCATATGGATAAATACACTCATTAGTCACTAACTGCATGTCTCACCTCAGCAAGCGCCTTGGTTAGCCTCTGTTAGCCACCTTAGCCTATCTTCTCCACGAATAAGGGACACGCCAAGGTCTGTTGGATGCGTCTAACAAGGCTGAGCTCCCAAGTTCCCTTGAAGGCTGAGTCTGTCCCGCAACGAGACAGACAGGGCTAATCCTCTTCACAGTCCTTTCCTCACTTTCTTCCTTACAAACCTGCGAGAGGGCGGTCATCACCAACATGCAAGTTAATAGCGCCGTTGCTCTTCGGCGACTGTCGCTGAGCACAGGATCTAACCCCAGCAACCAAGCACCAGAGTATTCCGAGAATGACCTCTCCCCGGACTCGGCCACGTCTCACAACGAGGAGCCGCCGGCATATTCGCATGCACCTCCAGCAGCCCAGGTTCCTGGATGAGGATACAGTACGACGCTTCATCGCTCGCCATATGTCTTGATCCCCACGCTTCTGTATGCAGCCCTGGCAATATATGCGTGGGCTGCGATTGTCTACCTTTCCTTTCGTCCCATGCGCGCCAAGTCGTGGGGGGCACTTCTGAAAAAAACATTATTCCTATCCCAAATCATTGGACTACGTGTCGAATGAAAGCATTTATCGCTCTGCCGTGGTGATCAGGACCCTTATCATCGTCGTCACTCTACCATGGCTTTCAGCCGTATGCGCGAGTGCGGCCGTCATCTATGTGCAGAATCAAAAGACGGCCAACAGCCTGCGAATGCGCCAAGTCACGAATCTGGCAGACCGTCGATGGTTGGATATTACCCTGTACAAGGCGCTTGTCTCGGGAGGATGGAAGAGGCATGGCAGTCCATTTTTGGTTCTTGCCATCATTCTTCATCTGATTGCCGGCTTGACATATCCCATCCAGTCAATCTTCCTCGAAACAAAGACGATCCGTGTCCCCGAGACCATGAACAGGGTGGCTACCATAGCCGATCTTCCCTTCCTTACATACCCTGGCACAGCTACTTCACTCCTAGGCAATGACATCTTGACGGCTCGCAGAGCTCTCAGCGACGCGGACTCCATCACCTTTCAGCCGTTTTTGTGGCAAAACACGTCTGGTATACAATTACATACCCTGGATGACATTCTATCCTTGAACGACTCGTTCTATGCTCAGCTCCCGACTGGATTCAACACGGGCGTACTGCGACAGTTTGCGCCTCGCGTGAACTCCACCGCCACGTACGAGAGTATGACTGCCAGTCAATTTCCGTCGAACTGCGACAGTGTCCCTGGGTCTTTTTATTCCAAGTACTATTCCGAGTACACAGGATACGCACGCCCTGAAAGCTGGGGAGTCACTGCCTGCATGCCTGCCAACCTGACCAAATCACCATGGCAGAAGACGCGAGATCGTCAGGAGTTCTCTGAAACGCTTTATTTGAATTTCACCAGCACACAGGGTTACTCCAGCGACACGCCGACTGGTGGCAAGCTGTACCGAATCACGGTCAACACCACCGCCGGATACTTCGAGTTGCCGAACTACATGAATGAGGGCCTGCCCGGCCCACTACTGGAGAAGGACCCCCTTAGCCTCTGCGGCGCAGACTGTCGCTATCAGACCGTTGATATGAGCACCGACCGGGTCCGTCGCGATAACATTACCACCACAGACACCCTCGACGCAGCGTCCTGGGACCCCATCTCAACAGTCAACAAAGGGCCCCTTCTCACGACGGAACTCGCAATGTTTGGTCCAGGTTCATTCCTAGATACATTCGCTGCAAAACTCTCGGCCATCAAGGCCAGCGTCAACACAGCCAACTTCACAGGCGATATCTGTCTCGACGTCCCTCCACTTCTCAACCTGATCCTAAATGAGTCCTACGGCCTCCTTCCCCGACGATACTGCCTAGATGCTCCCGTGGGGATTCGCTACGAGGGCAACAATGCCGACAGCCTCATCCAGCAATGGCTCGGCTACTTCCTCAAAGGCGAGGACCGATTCCCCCTGGTCTTTACAGCGGCAGCCTTCCTATCCAACAAGCAAATGCTCGAGTCCGTGTCTGGTCAGTGGTGGATATACCAGGATCTGGGAGCCGAGATGGATATTCCCACCATCTCTCTCGCAGGGATAATCGTCGGCTCGGTCCTGATGGCCCTATACATCATCCCGCTGGTGGGACTCTCATTCTACGCGGATTGGTATCCACGGTGGACGGAACGGTTAGACTCCTTCGCGATGCTGCGCTTCGGGGCCGCGATTGGCGATAAACTGCTCCCTCTGCGGGTGGCCCGGACAGTGGATCAGATTCCGGTATTGGATGAAATCCCAGGTGTTGTGAGGGATGTGTCTATTCCGGATGGAGATGAGGTTCTCCCGATGGGCACTCTGGGGCTTGGGGATGGACGGCCGTTGCAGAGATATCGTCGGTATGAGGCTTTTAAGGAGAGTGACGAGCCTTTGACGCAGGTAGAGCACAGAACGCTGCGGTTGGAATTAATGATGTTCCGATAGAGGGTTAATCAATGCGGAGGAAGTGCTTTATCTGGGAATATAACTAAATATAACTGTGTACATATAGATCCATGTGTGGGACACGTCCAATAGGCTGTGCTAGTTGATTTCTAGCTTTCCACGCTACCATGATTCCTCTGCCAATTCCATGAACGGTGCGAATTGCTATAAAGAAGAGACATGCTATCAAAGAGCTGATGGTGAAAAACAGGACTGATGCAAAAAGGGGCTAACGCTGGCCATAGATTTCTGACATAACAGCAATTAAACCATTCTCTTTAGGTTCCCCCTTCAGTGAATGGCTAGCACAACTCTCTGTTGTAATATCACGCAGGGGCAGCACGATCTCCACGAATACTAGGATAGACGATATCATATAGTATAGACACGGAGGGAATGCTGGGTCCTGTGGTCCTTTTCTTTCCTAAAACAGTTTACAGAATTGCCCTCTTCGACTCTTCAGCACGACTGAATGATGCAATGACAAGGAGTGGATGACCAACCACTATGGATTCGTGATTACAGACGACTTCGGACCCCTGCGTTTCGGGCAATCAAATGCCAGGACCGACGCTTAGCAGGGCAGCTAAGGGCTAAGGTGCATCAAGATCAGCTTTCTCCGACATCGCCACCTAAGAAAAAGGAGCTTATATATAGAATGATACGACACCGCACAGGTTTAATGTCAAAAGTTACATGTGTGCCAATTTTCTTATTGTTCATCATGGATTTCAAGTTCGCACTACTCATAACTGTCGTTTCAGCACCACTATCTGTCTTCTTGTACAGACAGATCCGTGCGTCGCTCGAGGACATCCAACACACGCCAGAAGAACGTACCTTTACTCCTGCGAGAACTGGACCGGCGGTGCCAGGAGGACAAACATTTCCTAAAGCAGTGTACCCCATCGATGCCTTCCCGGGAAGCAGACAGTTCAAGACTGTATATGGAACAATCCATGTGTTCGAATGGGGCCCTGAGGATGGGGAAAAGGTGTTGCTGTTGCACTGCCTGGGTACACCCTGTATCGCATTGGGTGATATGGCTAAAGAATTGGTACGCAAAGGCTACAGGGTCATGATATTTGGTAAGTTGTATCTGTTCTTGACCCTTTGACTCTGACTGACATCGACTTGTAGATCTGTTTGGGCGGGGCTACTCCGATGCGCCGAATGACCTCGTCTTTGATGCAAGACTCTACACCACCCAAATTTTGCTGGTACTCGCTTCCTCCCCGCTATCCTGGACTGGCACTTCTGCCTTCCACATCATTGGCTTTTCCCTCGGTGGCTCGATCGCCGTGGCTTTCGCCGCCTACCATGCCACTATGCTCCGCTCCGTAACTCTGGTTTGTCCTGGAGGCCTCATCCGCACGTCGCACTTGAAGCCCTTAGACAAAATTCTATCGGCCATACCAGCAGCAACCGTTGCGGCAGAGGTTCAGTCACTCGTATGGAGTCGGGTTGGAGCATTCGCTTCGTTGGGAGGTATAGTACAGGGCAAAGGCATGATACCGAAGACGAGGTCCGGCAAGACATTACGGCGTGTGCTTCGGGAGTTGGTGGAGAATGGGGTCTACGGGGACTTGGATCGGAGTGTTGAGGTCCCAAGCACAGTCGAGGATCCGACAGCTGTACAAGTCGCGAGAGCCAAGGTTCGAGAGTACTTTAACAGGAACAAGGGTAAGCACAAGGCGATTGAGGCAAGGGAGACGGCATGAAACTGCAATATGTAGATAAACTATCTTCAGTGCAAAACTAAGATCCTATATAATATGTGAAAAGAGCAAGCTCTTGTGCCAGAAAGGTGGGGGATTGTCAGAGACGGTTTCTAGCCCGGTAATAATCTCCGGAGTCTCATCGCTCGTTCCAATGACGATTGCTTCGGCCAATATGTGATGAAGCTCACGCACGGAGACAAGCATATAATCCAGACCTCTCAACGTAGAAACCACAGCCTCCGAACCTCCACTGCTGTCAATATTTTGGATGAAACCGAGCCCTATGACCGGGCCAAGGTTGATCACCGAGGCAGGCAGGTTGCGCGCTCGTCTCTGGGACACCAAGCCGGTCATAAACTACAAAGTGGTCAGCATGTCATGACTCGAATGGAACCGGAAGAAAATTACATTATTAGCAGCATCGTAGTTGGCTTGGAAGGGCTGCCCAACCACAGCCGAGATGGACGAGAACAACAGAAAAAAGTCAAGATCATCGCTAGAGAAGACCTCGTCGAGAACCACAGACCCGTCCACCTTGGGCCTCAGGACTTCCTGTAGAATGTCGTATGTCAGATCAGGGAAGAAACAATTGGACTGAAGCATTGCACTGTTTGCCACACCTCCGATGGGGGGCATAGTGCTAAGAATGTGGTTGCGGAGGTTGATCATGTCTTGCTTCTTGGTCACATCAGCTGCCTTGATCACAACATTGGCGCCTTGCTTTTCTAGCTCTTTTGTCCACAGTCGGTCCTTGTTGGGATTCCTACTACTGTTAGTAGCTATCCATATCACAGTCTTGTCTGTACAAACCGGCTTGTGATTACAATGTGGCGCCCACCACTCTGTACTATCCATCGGGTGATAGACTGACCCATCTGCCCGCTAAGGCCGATGAGAACATATGTCTTGTTCGGCGAGAAAAGACCGGAAGGATCAATAGGACGAACAAGTGTGCCGGACTGTTGCTCAACGGGGTCTCTGGCCGTTACCCCCGCCTTAAACAGTTGAGACGATCGTTGCGCTTCTTATCGAAAAGCACCCTCGGGATGAGAAGTCGCCTTCCTTGCACGGAGAGCTCCGGTTCGACCGTCCACAGCCTGTATGAGCTATGATCTCTCATCCTAACACCGCCAATAAGCCGAAGGAAGCTCTCCGAGACACTTCTCTGGTTTCCATCAATATTGTCCAAGTCGAGGAGCTGCAGAACCTTCTCCGGGTTCTCAGCTTGGACGGCTCGCACAAGTCCAATTGTACCGCTTTGGTACGGATGTAGATTTCCAGCGCTATGAGTGACCCACAGGGCTATCTTGGACTTGTTTAACAGTTGATGTAGGCCGTGAAAGGTATCATGATTGAGGCATTCCAGCACTGACTGATCCAACTCGGTCAGACTAAGCACAGCTTCCACTTGGTCAAGGTCTTCGCTCTTCAAGTCGGTCAGGGACCTAATTACAATAACCTCCCCATCCCAGACACCTCTCAGTGTATCCTGGATTGTCTCGATAAATTGTTTAATCTCTTGCGAGATGCCACCTATAACAAGAAGCGTTCCTCTTGTAGTAAATGGCGGCGTCGAGTCAAGCGGACTTTTGAGAAAGCGGACTTGATCATCGACGGCCTGTGACAAGATGACAAAAGGCGAATCCCCTTCTGGGTTCTTTTGCAATAAATCAATTCCTGAAAACCCAACGCTCTGCAACATGTCGTGTATCTCTTTGCGGGCAGAGTCTGTTGCTTCCAGCGGAATGGCCTCTGTTACCGTCATCGTCTTCAGTAGAAAACCCCCTGGCTTTAAGAGACATCGGATGGATTTCAATGTAGCAGACTCCTCTGTGGAGGCCTTTAGAAGAATTATCAAGTCGAAAGAGCTCAGGTTGATTGAGCTGTTGGGGGTTGTTTCGTCCAACGTTCCAACGCCCCGTGGGATGTCGACGACTGCGAACTTGATATCTAGGTCGTCCGATATCAACCCCTGCCTCATATCCTCTATAGCCCGGTCCGATTCATCCGCAATCGTGTATGAGCCCATGGAATTTCCCAGCTCGTGACATAAAGCTTGTACCAAGTTGATGGAAGAGATTCCAACCTGGAGAATGTTTAACTTTGCGTAGCGATGTGAGATCAGTCTGGTTGCCGCCAGTAGGTACTTGTGAGCCTGCGACGGGCCCAAGCGCTCGTAACAGGCGATATGATCGTCATGCTCGAGCACTGCCCCCGAGAGAATGTCTGGTCGCCAGATCTTTTTCAAGTACAGCCGTTTGTCTTGCCTCTCGGTAGAGGGACTTATGGGAGTCATGGTGAGACTTTCGAGGCGGAATTGTAACTGCCCAGTCTCTGAACTGTAGACGTTGACGTCTCCATTGATTCTTGGTAACTCCGATTCATACCCTGCAGTATATTTCTGTAGGTGCGCCTCGACAGTTACTGAGGCTGGTGTATCGAGGCCGAAACATGAATTCGGAAACAATGCCAGACGCCCGATCTTTGTAGGTGCGAACGTCGTCCATAATGAACCATCCCGAGGGGCGGCGAAGGCAAGTAAAAGTGTCTGGAAGCAAGCTTCCAGGATGGCTGGGTGAAGCAGAGCTGATATACTTGATGCTCCCCCGGTCATCGGCGCGACAACAGCGCATGCATAGTCCATACGCCTCTCAGCAGAAGTCAAAGCTCTGAAAGGTCCACTATAGCTCAGGCCTACTTCGCTTAGGGAATCATAAAATTGGTTGATGTTCACAGGCCTCAACCCGCACGGTTTGGGTTGTCTGGAGGAGGATAATAATGCTAACTCGTCGTCTGCGAAAGTCATGCGTAACCTTCCCGTGGCTACAGTGGCCATGTTTGGGTCCTGCGCGGCGCTCCTGTTGAGACTTAACTCTGCATGGATGGTGTCAATCCCATCATTACCAGAGTCGACAAGACTGCTTATTGAGAGCGAGGTCTCAATCTCCACTGAAGATGCTTCTAGTACAATCGGCCGTCCGATGGTAACGTCAGAGAGCTCGATGCTGTCTGCTTGTTTACCATTGCGGATATCCATGGCGGCCGCAAGGGCCATGACGCAAAACAGAGCTGTAGGGATAACGGCCTGATTCTGTATGTGGTGAGCTTCTAGCCATGGCAAGTCCTCTAACTTGAAGACGCGCCGCCATCTCGGCTCAAATCCCGTAGCACCAGGGACTCGGTTCCCCAACAGCTCGTTAGGCAATTCTAGCATGACTGGTTTGACTGAATGTATCGAAGAGGAGTACTCCCACCTCATGAGAAGTGTCGGGCCCAGTAAGTTGCAACTTCTGGAAACGGCAATATTCGAAAAGGTTCGGACGGGAGGAGCAAAGCTACCTGGGAACTCAACATTCGGACTAATTCGGTGGACATAGGGTCCTTCTACACTGAGGCCAGCAATCAATGCGACAATATTACGTTGGAAAGCTCACTTCAATCAGCTCCTACAGATTCATCCGCAGGTTAAACGATTCTTACGATTATATTCAGATCGCAAAACGGACTATTATTTCAAACTGCCTTAGTAAACTGTGATATATCCGCACGTGCACACTTTCTTCCTCCGTACATGACTCAAGCACTAACTGCCGTTGTATCCTTTTTCGAAGGGTACTTTTGAGCCATATAAGTCAGATCGCCCTTCACAACATACCCAATATGGCTCAGTGCGAGCAGTTCCTTCATCTGCGGGCTAAGCGTCTCTTGAAGCTCCTTTGGCAGCTTGGCTGACCAGTTTGTCAGGGGCCGCATGTGAGGCGCAGAGTAATAGGCAAAGAGAATGGCTCGATCCTCGTCCTTGGTAACGTTGGAACCGGAGGTGTGCCATAGGCGCCCATCAATGACAACAATGTCGCCTGCATCAGCTTCAAATGGGACCAGCAGATCCGGTGCGTTATCGGGCACATCCTCCCAGGTGATCCACTTGTTTGAGCCTTGGATATACAAGGTTGCACCGTTCTCCTTGGTCATCCTCGTCAGGCACCAAATCACGTTGACTGCCCAGATATCCAACCACGGCGCTGGAAGGACGATGCTCTGGTCCGAGTGCAGAGCCATGCTCTCCGCGCCAGGACGAGCAATGTTGGCAGAGAAGTTGCTGACCAGCAGCTGTTCGCCTAGCAAGGACTTGGCCAAGTCTAGGCCGGTCGGGTTGATGAGCATGTCTCGCCAGTATGCGTCCAACTCGGGGAGATAAAAGACGCGCACGTTCGCAGGGTTGGGATCCAAGATAGGCTGAAAAGTGTCCTCGCCACGAGCCTCAGAGGCAGCTTTCGCCTGCCAGAGACGATCGAGTGCATCTTTAGCTTCCTCTTTGGAGAGGACCGCAGGGATCTTGACCCAGCCATGCTCTTTTAGATGAGCCTTGGCGTCTACCATGTTTAGCGTCATGGTCTCGAAGAGGGTCACTAGATTGTTGGTGGTTCAGGGGTGCATTCTCGATCTTGAGCATAGGGACACTCACTGACTAGCTAATAGTGCCTTCATGGCTACTCGTTCTCGGCAAGTTACATGTTGTGTTCGGTAAATTCGGTCAGTCCCGAAAGGAAACAGGACCGAAGGCCTCCGAAGACGTTGCTCTAGAATATCACTGACACCTCTGCCGAGTAAAAGGATTTTGGAGGGGACAGTTGATTTGATTTGCATTGATTACTGTTTTAGACAGAAATAGATGGTGTCATAAGCTTGTATAACCCCCACCGCAATAGTACCAGGACTTGGTGCTTGAGAAGGTAATTAGTATATACTTAGCATTACAAGTAGAAAGCCGCACTAAGGGGCGTTCTTCTCTCGTGACTGTAATACCTGTTAGGCAGCAAAGCATCGGCCGTGAGGATACATATACTCTTCATCACTCACATTTGTGAATGCTAACTTCTCTCCAACTGCCTCAAACTTGACAATGGACCAGTCTATGAAGCCCCTTCTCCCGCCCACAGAACGACCACGTCGACATCTGACGGCTTCTGCCATCTCCGTAAGCCACTCAATGAATGGTTGAAAATCAGGATCTGAAAGTGAACTGCTAACGCCATCATCAACAGCTCGTTCTCCCAAATCAATTCAGTCTCAGCACGCTTCTTTGCATCGGGTCCCTTATGCAGATCATCCTCTGCGCCATCCTCCCCCTCCGCTACGCCGCCATCCCATGTACAACTGTCCTTCTCGTATCCATCCTCTCCACGATCCAAAGTTGCTTCCAGCCGAAAACGAATCCTTTCATGACCCATGTCGTTCCCGGAAGAACTACGGCGCAGATCCCAGGCAAAGATGGGAAATATGGCCCTGAGCCAGGCAAGGGCTCAGTGGTAGTGTTCCACCTCGGAATACAATACAACCACCCCCTGGGAATCTTTGCACCGCACACGCTCGAAATCTCGAACGCGTTTCTCGCCATGCAGCAGGATATACTCCGCCGTAAGGACGAGCTCGGCTTGCTGGCGGTTCAGAATTGGCGAGGCAGCGAGCGCAGCTCCAACAACACCACACTCATAAAGTATTTCTTCAAAGACGTGGAAAGTATTCATAAATTTGCCCACGAACCGCTACATAAGGAGATTTGGGCGTACTATAACCAGTATCACCCTGGCCATGTGGGTATCTTCCATGAGACGTTTATCACGAAAGACGGCGGATACGAGAGCATGTATGTAAATTGCCATCCAATTCTGCTTGGACGAGGTGAGGTGAAGGTCAATAGTCGCAAAGACGGCACAGAGGAGTGGATGGGGACGCTGGTCAGTGCTGACACACCAGGTTTGAAGTCTTTTAAAGCAAGATTGGGTAAAGATGATTAAGCTGGAGGCAAGGTCCTCCTCCAATGACAAAAGTTGCGCCGCTTCAGATACACGACTTACGTAGACCTGACAGGCGAACGACCCTTATCCAGTACCCCCTTTGACCCTCCACTCGCCTATATCCTTAGTTTTTTACTTCCCCATTTGCATCTCCATTTGCCTTTCCGTTGGCATTTCCGTTGGTAATATCCGGTATGGGGATTGGCCCGCCTGGAGAGTTCTCCAGTCTCGCCGTCAAAACCTCGACGCCTGTTTCCGTAACAAGCAGAGTATGTTCTATCAATGTTCAAATTAGTATCTAGAGCCTTCAACTGGCCTCGGAAATGTCCATACGCACCGAATTGTGCTGTCCGCTTGCCGTCGACGGTAACATTTGTCCAGTCATCTGGCCAATACTTTTCTCGGTTGCCGCCCAAAGCCAGGATCGGTTCAATCGTAAATGTCATCCCAGGTTTGCATGTGCCCACAGCCTTGTTCTTCGCGTAGTGGGGTATCCAAGGAGGAGGGTGGAATTCCGAGTTGATACCGTGGCCGCCCCAAGTCTTAATGACGACAAGGCCTCTCGAGGCTGCGTGCTTCTCAATGATCTTGCCAAACTCTCGGATCGGTACACCGGGTTTGACGATCTCAATAGCCATGTCCAAGGCCTCCCGCGTCGTTTCCACGAGTCTGACCGAGTCGGGATCCGCTTTGGCCTTGTCACCAACATAGTAGGTCTCGTTCAAGTCGGCGTGATATCCTCCGTTGTACAGAGAAACGTCCAGGTTGAGAATATCGCCATCAAGAAGAACTCGCTGATCAGGGATGCCGTGGCATACCACCTCATTGGGCGATGTACATATTGACTTGGGAAAGTGGTTGTAGTTGAGTGGAGAAGGATATGACTACCCCCCTGGTTTAGCGAACAGCTTGACATGTTTCACACAGGCGTGACCGTCACTTACATCTCGCTCGATGCAAGCATTGTGGCAGATTTCATCCAAGTAATCTGTGGTCACCCCGGGCTTCACTGCCGCGGCAGTGATGTCGAGTACTTCTCGAGCCAACCTGCACACTTTGCGCATGGCCTGCTGGCCCTTTGCATCCAAGAGGTCCCATTTTGACCTGCTCAAGCGCATCTCACGCCTTGGAATGCCCGTCTCGGCCCAGTCGGGACGCTTGATTGATTTGGGGACCAATCGTCGCGGGGAGAGTGGATATACGGGTCTGACCGAGCCAGTGAATGCGTATGTGGGAAAGGGGTTGTAAAGTCCGGTAGCTGTGGCGCGATTAGCGAACCAAGTTCTGAGTAGCGGGAGTGTGCCGCCTTGGAGGGGTGGTTACCATTTTGTGTTTTGTGCATCATCGCCTTGTGTGTGGTCTGGAGATAACCAATATTAGCTGCTCAGCGATGAGACGTCCGCGCGGATGTAACCTACCCAGTTCTTCTTAAAGCAGTCTCGAGAGCAGAAGTAACTGCCTTTGACGCCGAGCTTCAGACATGTCGGGCATTGTAAGGTCCCCGCTTCATTGTCACAATCGGTGCCGCAGCACTTTTTCTTGGGATCGGAGTCGGACATTTGCGCGGGGATCACGATCGTATGCTCTGACGAGTCGAAGAAGAAGATGGGAAGACCCTTTACTTTCAATTCGAATTTTTCGCGATGATGAGCGATGACAGCGAAGGAGGAGAGTTTGTTGAAAGTAGACTAGGTATGAGATGGTGGTGAAATGTAAGTTGTCACGTTACCGCTCGTTACAAAGAATGGTCAGATCCACTTCCACGTGACCATCTACACCCTGACCCACATGGCATCTTACATAAGCAGATCCGATTCGAAGGGATCGAAACAGGAGATGTACTAGTGCTGTACTGTAAAATTACTAGGTAGGTACTAGCGGGATACTGTCACGCCACATCTACTACCTTAGGTAAGGTTCTAAGGTAAGTTTCGGGTAACCAAAAGTGGGGCAGCCTAGGTACCCCATAAAAACAAATTTTAATTCCATTTTATTTCACGTTCTGTCGTAAGTTTCAAATTGTTACCTATCTGCCTTACTAACTCGTTACCTACAAGTGGTTGAAAATGTTGTCACTTGATACCTGTAAGTATCTCAAGGGTGATCAGACATCCATTAATATCTCAAGGCATGAATGGTCGCTGGTGTATTGAACTTGTTGACTAGTTCAGCATAGAAACAACCAAAAGACACATCACACATGCCAGACGCTGATAATGCAAACCAATACAGAGTACATACATGTATCGCTTATCCAAGACAGGAGGCAATCCATTGTAGCAGGTCAGCCCGACTCAGCGCCGAGGTTTCACGAAAGCCCCTCGGTGACAGTGACCAAGGTGGCGGCCAAGATGCAAAGAAAGGCTGGAACATTCACCAACAGTGTTCGTGCGCGGTGTTTGGGCAGCCATTCCTGGAGTGCGTCCTCATTTCTGACTCCGGCGGTCTTGACATCGCCAATGCGGCCAAGGATAGCAAACATGGTCGGCCCCCAGCAAAAGTGAGCGATACTGAACAGCGCGCCGGCGAAGTACAGGTTGCGAGCCTCGCTACTCTGACGGCTAAGACCATTGATAACACAAAGGACGGTGGCAGGAGGGTAGGTCAAGCCGATACCCCAGATCCCAGGACTCATGAAAGCGGGCAGGTATCGAGGGAGGAGTTTGCCACTCGGGTGGGCTGCGTCGTTGCGTAGGGACGGGTGTAAGAATCAATCAATCAATCAATCAATCAAGATTCTATTAACCTGATGTAGCCTATCTATTAAAGTGATTAGCTATGCAGGCACTTCGCCAATGAAGTAGGAATCTAGTATCTAAACACCTAAAGCCCATAATTAACCCATAAATGCAGAAGAGACATAGGAAATTAGTATATAGCTATATTAAAAGTAGATTATATAACTAAAGCAGCCTGCTATCTAGCTATATATCTCCCCTATACCACCTTAGTGTATTAAACACCTATCCTACCTTATTCTATATAGTCATTCTAAATATAGTATGATTCTATGCCTAGGAAGACCCTTCCTAGGCAGCTATTTAGTCTATTTAACTATTATCTTCTATATCTATTCTAGAGCCTTATAGGAGGCTTCTATATTCCTAGTCCTRCTCTATTAGTTCTACTRRTTCTATTATCTYAGTRTAGYAGAACTAGCTGAGCAGGCCTATTTAATATATAAATTTAGTAATATAGTAGATTACCTATAGRTTAGATATAAGTATATTATAATCTAATAGTTTCCCCTAGAGTCYCTCTATATTATATAGCTTAGCTATTATCTTCCTRYAGRTATCTATATRYAGTAAGYACTATAGRAGTATATACTTAGRGRTCTAAGACCCCTCTYTATAGCTATACTAGTYTAAGTTATAGGCCTTAATCTTAAAGAGGAAGTATTATAGACTAATCTATATAGTCTATATCTAAATAATAATTAATATATATAGCTTTAGTAGGCCCTTATAGAGTCCTAGATTCTTCTTATAAGGGGCCTTTATTAGCTACTATATTAGCTTAGCCCCTTTCTCTATCTTCTACTATTTCTTCTAGTATTACTAGATTTATTAGTAGATAGCTTACTTAGCTATTATAGTAAGCTAGATAATTAGTTATTTTAGCTGCTCTGCTAAGCTTAATTTAATCTTACTATCTTATATAGTAGCCTTCTTTACTACCTTATTTATAGTCTTATTCTCTACCACACCTATATAGGCAGGGATCTAGTATATCTTTATATTATCTAGAGGTAGCCTGCATACCCCTAGGGCCCTTACTTCCTTATATATATTATCTAAAATATATTAGCTAGAGGGGCAGCATGGGTTCTGTACTACCTAGATAGTAGCCTAGCTATTAGTAAAGATAGTAAGTAAGTATAGGCTTAATGCTCTAGTAGTAGTAGTATATAGTACTATATAGATTCTATCTAGTTTAGTAGTATAGATAGTTAAATCTATCTTTATACCTAGATAGTTCTAGTAAATCTATTAGTTATAGGGGTAGATAGCTAAGGCACCTATATAGCCCTAGTAGCTACTATTATTAGTATAGATAACTAAGTACTAATTATTAACCTTTTTATATATCTTATTATAGGTTATTAGTGTAGCTTTATAGTCTATAATTATATAATAGAGGGGTAGCTCCTATAGGGGGAGTATATATACTTTCTATATTTCTTATTCTTCTAGGTATCTTAGGGTAGGGTCTAGCAGGCTACCCCTCTTCCTAAGTATCTCTAGTAGAGTAAGGCTACTCTACTATATCTCCTTAGTTAGTTATAACTTCCCTATAAGTCCTTATAGGTATATAAAATATAGCTCTATTTAGATTTAAATAGTAGTTTCCTTAATGATTTATTATATCTGTAGGTGGATTAGTAATAGATATAATTCTATATTAAGTATAGCTATAGTGGTTCCCTAGAAGGCATTACTAATTAGTATAATAGTATATTTCTAGATCTTAGTAAATTTATTAATAATCTTAGTCTATTTCCCTGCTGGAATCAGCCTGCTAGTAGGGCTAAACCATGCTATAACTCTATATAGTAGCTATAGGATAACTATACTATAATAGATTATATATATAGCCTCTAATAAAGTACCCTAGGTTAATCTAGTAATGCTTTATAGTGCCTCTAGGCTACTATTTATATAGTTAATTACCTTAGTATAGTAGGTGTTAAAGAAAAGGGTTTTATTAAGCTAGATACTAAGGTATCTAGCTAATTTAGTAGGTTAAATAGTGGTTTCCTTATAGTAGATAGGTATTTAATCATAGCCTTTATATTTACCTGATTCCTAGATATTAATAGGGCCTATTAGGGTTAACTTATAGGGTTATTCTAGTTCTTTTAGGTTAGTGAAGTAGATTAGTTTAAACTTATTAGGGGTGAACTTAGTAGTATACTTACTAGCCTAGTAGTCTACTTTCTCTAGGTACTTCTCCAGGACTATAATATTCTAGGCATAGGTCTGACTAATAGTAAGTATATAGGAGTTATCTATCTAGCTAATAGATATAGTTTTTATATTATTAAGCTAGTAGACTAGTATTTAGATTAGTAGGGTATTAAAAATTAAGAAAAGGATGGGTAAGAGGGGGCTACCTTATAGAATCCCTATTATAGTTATAAATAGGTCACTGAGGAACCCAGGTAGCTATAGGTGGGTGTAATAATTTAATAGGAAGGATTATAGCTAGTTAGTAACCTAGCCTAGCTATATAGTTTAGAGATTATGTAGTAGGTATTAGAGGGAGATATTATTAAATATATTAGAGATATCTAGTAGTAGTATACTAACCTTCTATCTAGACCCCTAAGTATAATAGATTATATTAATAATTAGTTAGATAGTATAGTTAATAGAGACACCTTTCTAGCTACCTAAGTAATCTTTTAGGAGTAAGCTATATTCTTCTAGCACCTAGGAGATATAGAGTGTGATAATTAACTCTAGGATCTTATCTAGAATATTAAGTAGGGTAATAGGATAGTAGGACTTTAGAAGATAGAAATCTTAGGGGGCTGCCTTATAAAGAATAACTATAGTAGATACCTAGAAGTATTAGGAATTATAATTAATATAGATATAGGTATTAAATAGGGTCTTAGTTACCTAGATAAAAGTTAGGATGGCTATTAAGGCATGCTAGATCTTATTTAGGATAGTATCTAGTCCTAGTACCTTCTTAGGAGGTGCACACCTAATGGCTTTAGTAATTTCTTAATTATTAATTTTAGGGAAGATAATATTCTATAATTAGTTATATATTCTACTCTCTATATCTAAGAGGTCTGTAGCTAGTGGTACTAGGAAGAAGGTCTTATAGAGTAGGTTAGCTTTCTACTTAGCTATCTCTATAATATAATCTCTATAGTAGAGGGTAGGGATGATATCTATCTAGCTATCTCTTTAGTAATTCTAGGCCTACTTAGTAATGTACTATATGCCCTAGGGGCCTTAATTAACTATTTATTATATATATTTATAATAGCTATACTATAGGGATTAGGAGATGACCTTCCCTTTCTAGTTATAGGCCTTAGTATATATGGTCTAGTCATCATTAGTGTGTATGCTAGTGTAGATTTATTAGTAGAGATATACTAGCTTAATTATCTTAGTATATTTAGATATCTAGTTAGGGTTAGCCTACTTAGAGGGGTGGGCTTATAGTATAGAATAGGTAATAGCTTACTAGATAACTTTAATAAGGTAGTTAGTAGTATTATTAATCTAATAGGGGGTTTTAAGATTCCTAGTCTACCTATGTAGGTTAAGATTAGAGGATATAAATATACAGAGCTTCTATATATCTATAGCCTTCTAGTTATAATATTTAGGGGCCTGCAGTGGGGGCATTATAATATTAAGAAGTAGGTAAATTAGTAGATAGTTAGAATTAGTATAGATATTAGGGGCTACCTTACAGGCTATAAGGTAGGCTATTAGGTCTATAGATCTAAATATTAGGTTAATAGTTAACTAGTAGCCCTGCTTATTATAGATGGCAGTGCCTGATTCTATCCATAGATCTAGGAGCTAGGTGTTAGTTAGTTCTAATAGTTTATTAGACCTAGAGTTAGTATAGCAGATGTGGTTGCCGCCCCAGGCTAGGTAGTGGAGGTTAAAATCTTCTAGGAGTAGGTAGCTACTATCCTACTAGTCTAGGACCTGCTCTAAGAGGTTAAGGGTATTAGTTTAGGTATTAGTATCTAGGTATAGATTATAGATATTATATAGATAGAGTATTCTAGTATTATAGTATAGCTTAAGCTTCTAGTAGTCCTATAAGTGGGCTGTATACTTCTATTTAGTAGGGTCTATCTAATAAGAGATATAGAGGTAGACCTAGGTATAGCTACTAGTTTCTATTACCTTAGGGTAGAGCAGCTAGTAAGTTACTTAAGTAGGATAGTAGGTAGTATCTTAGTATAGGTTATCCTATAGTTCCTAGATGGTAATAATATCTACTTTTAGGACCTCTAGGTTATATAAAAACTAAGCTATTACTATATTCTTAGAGCAGTGCACATTATATTATAGTATTTAGAATATACTATTTATAGAAGGTATAGTATGGGGTGTTCTATATACTCTTTTAATAGCTATTAGTAAACTAGGGTATTCTAGCTTCTATAGAGAAGTTAATCTAAGGGTCCTTTTCTAGTTAGATAGGGCTATCTACCCCCTACTTCTACTTCTTCTTCTTACTACAGGTGCTAGAATTAGTATTAGTATCCTTATCTTATAGAATTAAGCTAGGCTACTAATTACTTTCTAGGGTATTAGGGAGCTTAGTATAGCTATTCTTATTATTAGTAGTAGTATTATTATCCTAGTATATATTAAGGTAGGTCCTGTGCGCAGTAGCTATCTATTAGTTTTATAATTATTTTAGAGGGTAGTCATCACCTTTATTAGTTAAGTCTAGTAGATTAATATTATTTAGGTAGTCTATGATTTAAGTAGAGTAGTAGGAGGTGGTAGAGCTAGTTTAATTAATTAAGCTAGTTTAGTTAGTTAGGCTAGTTTAATTAGTTAGGGCCTTCTTATTTATAGATATAGAAGAGGCTTTAGGGTATAGTGCTAGGAGGGTAAATAAGATATTATTAATACTCTA